TGGACCCAGCCTTGCTGGTTGAGAATAGAAGGAAGTAGAATTAAAGGCTTGAAGAGACTTGAAGTAGTCTTTTTGGGGGGTACTGTAAAATCGTTATTGTTTGCCGGTGATAACCTTAATTGAAGACAGAAAAGCTTGAAACCTATGAATTTGTTGGCCAAGAGAGCACAGTGATCTTTCTCTCACAGTACCTTTGGTCCTGGAAAGAGGTTGGCAAACAGATAATGGGATAATTGAGAATGGGAATTAGTATAATGGAAGATTTGGAGGTTAATGAATGTATAGAGCACTGTTGTCAGAAGCTCTAAATGCTAGATAACATGTGTCTAATGCAACCAGAAGGAGGAGGCATTATAATTATGTATGGTACACATTTAGATGCTGAATCATCATTAAAACAAGGTTTATGACTCTTTTTTTTGAATGTGCCACAAGGCTTATGGGATCTTAGTTCCCTTACCAGGGATCAAACCCAGGCCCCCGGCTGTGAAAGTGCAGAGTCCTAACCACTGGATTGCCAGGGGATTCCCAAGTTTATAACTTTAATCTAGGTTCAGAACTAGATGAATTGCATGCTAGCTTCTGGAATTATGAGAACTGTACTCAGAAAGAGTTATTGAATTGTAATAGGCAACATTCTGTACTTGCAGATTTTGTGTGAAAGGATGGAGAGCTTTAAGGCTGACTGTCACTTAGTTTTATTGCATTATCAATTGTTTTCTTGTGTTTACATTGTGTTGAGTACAATGCTTGAAAAAGCATTTCATTTTAGAGAGTGATTAGGTATTGAGTTAAACCTGGAGGTTAATTTTGTTCAACAAATGTCTTACATATTTCATCATCCAACCGTAAGGCAACAAGTAGCGGTCAGAGAAATGTGTATTCAAGGAAGACTCAGGGTAGTATTTTGTTTTTATTGTTCAGTCGTTAAGTCATGCCTAACTCTTTGCCACCCCATGGACCACAGCTCGCCAGGCTCCCGTCCTCTCTCCTGGAGTTTGCTTAGATTCATGTCCATTGAGTTGGTGATGCATCTAACCATCTCATCATCTGCTGCCCCCTTCTGCTTTTGCCTTCGATCTTTCCCAGCATCAGGGTCTTTTCTAGTGAAATCAGGAGGCCAGAGTGTTGTAGTCCACTTCAGTGTCTCACACCATTCTCCATTGAGACCCCTCACTTAGGACTGGTGAATTGATGATGGGGAGAAAAATATTATAGTTAAATTTTAGAGTTACTATGCAAAATGTCTTGTGTAATTTAAGGAGGACTGTCATCTATTGTATTCTTTAAATATACTTTTAGCTCCAGGACAGGTTAGAAGACTGTAAACTTATCTTTTAATCAACTATATTTCCACCTGTTCTGTGAATCTTGCCTTCCTCCAGCCCAGTAATCTTGCTTTCCTATAATCTCAAACCCCATTTGTCTCATTCCTTGGGAATCTAGCTAATGATGTTACCAGCTTCTTAGCATAGATTGACCAAACATTTTGTACAATATAGATGCTCAGCAGATAGTCCTATGCAGCTTTACCTTTGTGTGCATTCCTTGCATAATAGATCCTAAAGAGATGTTCCCAGAAAGGAGGGGAAACCAGCCATTTAGTCTCAGCTGTGATGCTTGTGTCCACAGGTATCTACAGGATGAAAAACCAAAACAGAAACTAATGGTTTTAAAGATTTTAAAAGATGCCCATAATAGTAAATTATTTATATCAGTCCTTTCTGTACTCTAGACCTGATTCTAGCAGGAAAGTAAGTGAAAAGTGAGGGCTGGGGCAAGTTAATTTCCTATCTTTAAGAAGTAATAGGACTCTGGAAAAATTATACAGACCATTTATGTTATCATGTCTTTGCTTTGATGTCAGCCTATAGAAAGCTATGCCCCCAGACTCAGTATCTATATATTACCCTTATTTCTTTTCTAGTAGAGTAATTCTTTATTTTATAAAGTAAGAAACTAACCATTTTAGCCTTAAAAGTAGTCTATATTTCAATAGGGTTCCTACTTAGAAACTAAAACTACATTTTTCATATAATTGGTTTTAGTGCACTGATATTTTTGTAACTTTTGGCTAATTACTCTTTTTTTTTAGATTGAGTAGATCTGATTTATTAGGAGTACTCAAGGTGTGCATTGAATTAGGTATCATAATCAGGGCAAAAAAGTAATGGGAAATTACATGTTTGTTATCATAAGATTCTGAAAAGACCTTTTCACTTTTGACCCACCTCAGATGTTTAAAGTCTTTGTTTAATTCTCTGTGTCACAACAAAGCATGCATATAAATATGTAAGTGGGTTAATGAACAGAGTATTAAGAGGCAAGCATGACTGCTTTATTATTTATTGCTTCCCAGGTAGCTCAAACAGTAAAGAGTCTGCCCACAATGTGGGAGACCTGGGTTTGATCCCTGGGTCAGGAAGATCCCCTGGAAAAGGGCATGTCAACCTACTCCAGTATTCTTGCCTGGAGAATCCCAGGCACATAGGAGTCTTGTGGGTTACAGTCCATGGGGTCGCAAAGAGTTGGACATGACTGAACAACTAACACACACATGCACGTCACTGCTTTATTACTCCATTCAAGACATCTTTTGTATTGTTTTATCATCCCTTTCTTTCCTGCAATAAATTTTGTAAGTGTGATGTAAACAGATAAGTTTTTATCTGTGACTTGGTTTTTGAAGTAAAGTCCTTTTTAAGATTAAGATGGAACAAAGTTAAAATGATAGGGCCTAGTTGGGAGGTTGAGCTGATTAGTGATACATTTAGACTATAGAAAATTGGAAAAGATTAAAAAAAAAATTAACTTTAGTGTCCACGTACTAGAACTCAGTAAACCTAATATTGTCTTTTAGAAAACATATTTTAATGAACCAATAAGAATAATTTATATCTAGTATATTAAAGCACTAACCTAAGCAGTTTACTTCAGCAGAAGTTATGAGTTGATTATAAATGGATATTAAAGTGCTTTGGGAATATATTTAATACTACACACTATCTCATTGCTTAAGACTTTAAAAATAGTGCAGTCTCCTCTGGGCCTCTGTTACTTAGCAAAAAACAGGAAGGATGGGCCAGATTTTTGCTTCTTTAATATACCATCACCTGGGCATTTTATTAGAATACAGCTTCTAATTTAGTAGGTCTGGGATATTGGCCTGAGATCTGTATTTCTAACAAACTCATTGATAGTGCTTATTCCTGTAGTTCACAGAACACACTGAATAGCAAGAGAATAGATGGTTTTGTGTTGCTTTATGTTCAACATTGAATGTAGTAAAATTCTGCTAATTCAGATGTAACATATATAAAACCGCCATAATGAGCTAAGGGATAAACTGAGTGTAAAAAGTTAAAACTTTTCCCTTTGAAAGGAACAGGAATCAGTTTAAACCAACAGAAATAAAAAGTGAGGTTGCTCTCTAAGAATATGAGACAGTCTTTCTGGTATCCAGGAGCAAGAAATGATTTCTCACCAGGCTTCAAGGGAAATGGAAAGTTAGAAATCAACAAGAAGGTTAGCTTCCTTTCCTGTCTCTACTCTCTGGGTTTCTGTTTGAACCTGTCCTCTTGGATTTTCTGGTACACATCTTTGGCTTGCCATGTCTTTTGATTGTGTCCTTTGGCTGTTTGACATTTTGACCTCAAGATCTGCCACACCTTGACAGTAGTGTATCTCTTTTTCTTAGTTCATATTCTCAAGAGAAAATGTGGTCAGCCAATAATGAATTGTTTTTCTTGGGTTGGCCAAAAAGTTTGTTTGGGTTTCTCCATACCATCTTAAGAAAAACCCAGACGACATTTTGGCAATCCCAGTACTTGGGTCAGGTATCCAGCCATGGGCCAGTCAGCCTCATGTGTTGGGTGGGTAGAATGTTGGCATCAGTGATAAGAGTAGGGCCAGTGAAATTAGCCCCTTTGAAGAGTGGGGGAGACTTGAGGAAGATGCTAGGCCTCAGAGAAGGGGGCATTAGCGGAGTAGGCAGTGACACCTAATGCACCTTTATAAATGTTCCTGAAGGATGATTTGTTAAATTAATGAATTGAGTACAGGGAGTCCTGTACTTTTGTTTAGGGTGCTTCGTAAAAGCATCAATGAAAGTTATATAGACAGTAGCTAGGGGAGGGAGGGGCATAGTGGTAGATCCATCCTCAGAGAACTAAAAATAATAAATCCTAACTATAGTATACATGTTTGTCTCTTAGTCCCCTGAATGTCATCAGTATATACGTGGGTTATGGTAAATGTAGGTAATACAAATTGAGCCACCCTCTCCTGCCTCTTCCCCAGTGAGGACTATAAGGTATCCCCGCCTCCTCACTGTCGATTGCTTGCAGTAAAAACACCCTGCTCATTCTTCTGCTTGCATTATCCTGGCTCTCATTTCATATGGTCATCTAACATAAGATTTTTTTTTTTTTAAAATAACACTAAGATTACCTTATTGGAGAATACAAACATATTCCCCCATTCTTGGAATCACAGGCAGAGTAACCCCAAACATCTAGGCTTCAGCTCTATTCTGAAGCCCTTGATATAAACAGAAAGTGTAACATTCACCAGTTGCATTGGTCAATCTCCAGGTTCTTTCTTATGACAGTTGAAGTAACTGCCACATTAGCTCATTTTTCCTATGAAGCCATTCTGCCTATGCTGTCAGCTCCCAATGTAGATACATAAAATTCCAAGACAGTGATAGCATTTAGAGCAATGCTGTTTTTTCCCCTTTAGCTTATCCACAAATCAGTGCTACAAATTCTGCTGTTCTGTTTTTTCATGCTTTTGAAATAAATGCATATACCAGTGAGAAGAACTGTAGCCAGTTCATAAAACATCAAATATGGTAGTACTTAAAATTTTATGTTACAGTGTTTTGGGCAAAAGTGTGAACCGTTTCTCGAGAGGAAACTCTTTCAGGAAATTATTTACTGGCTCGAAATACTCTCTTCCTTTATATTTATCTTAATTATAACTTTTTTTTCCCCTTTCAGAGAAAGCCTGTGCAGAAGCTGGCTCAGCAAGAATGTCACTTCTTATATTGGTGTCCATTTTCCTGTCTGCAGCTTTTGTTATGTTTTTGGTATATAAAAATTTTCCTCAGCTTAGTGAGTAAGTATAAAAAATAAATAAATAAATAAAATGTCTATTAACGCACTTACAGAGATGAAAGTGTATTAAAAGTTTAACTACTTTTAAGCAACAGATCTGTCATGATGATTGTGTATCAACTCTCATGGTTTGTAGCAAGTTCATACTGACACTGTCTTTAAATACTTCTTTCCAAGTATGTCTCTTGATTTTCTGTGTCTGGTTTTTCTAGCTCTTCTCCTCTAAGGCATCTTTCTAATGGCTTTCAAGCAATTTTGGAAAATAAACCACATTAATTTATTGCATTTTATTTTTTTTAATGCTAGTAGTGACCAGGTAAATTTATCTTGCAGTCTAGAATAGAAATTGACCTGCAGTTTGAGAAATACTGATGTTCTTTTTCTCTGCTTTTCCCCTTTTTCCACTCTTGTTTTCTTTGCTTTTTTTTTTTTTTTTTAATTCATTTATTTGGCTTAGTTGCAGCATGTGGGATCTAGTTCCCTGACCAGGGATCGAACCTGGGCCCCCTGCATTGGGAGCTCAGAGTCTTAACCACTGGGCCAGCAGGGAAGTCCCTCCACTCTTGTTTTCTGCCTTCCTACTTTTCCTTGTGATCAGCTTCTGTCTGCCTCTATTCAGTCCATTTACCTCCCTACCACATCTCTGTCTACTGGCTCTTTTTCTGTTCCCTGTTTTATAGAAATGATATGGCTTGAATAAGTACTTTTTGTTGTGAAATGCACCTTGTAAAAAGACTTGTCTATTAGTATACAGCCACAATTCCTTAGCAGAAACCTTGGGAGTAAGATGTATTTCAGAATTTAGAGCTTTTCTATTTTGGAAAGATAACATGGAATAAATACTGTATATTATGTAGTGTCTCCAGCAGGATCTGGGGCTGTACACCATAATCAAATACATAGAAAACCTTGTATCATAAAAAACTATAAATAACTTTATATACATGTGGATCAATTTTTGCTGACAAGCTACAAAGAACTTTTGGTTTTCAGAGCTTTTTGAATTTCAGGGAAAAGATTATAGACCTGAGGCATATTTTATGAGGGTGAAATATCCCTGGGTTATTTAACCACAATGATAACACCCTTGGGTAATCATAGATTATGTGAGAGACTACTAAAATGTAAATGGTTAGACTTCCAACCAGGGCCATCTTGGTGTGGTAATGGATAACTGTGAAATGTGATTTCAGGGTATCAGGAAGTTCCTGTTTCCTCTTAATTTCTTTCATTAACACTTACTTATATTTGAAATTTTATAGTTAAATGTGTTTATTTTTAATACTTTTAATTTCTTACATGAATGAAAATGCCTTTGGGAGGATAGCATGTCATTTCATTAATACTTGTATCATTCAGTTTTAGATCCTTTCTCGTTTTTATCAAAGGAGTAAGAAATAAAGAACTGACTGAAAGAGGGAAAGAATATCGAGTGTAATTTAAGATTGTTTGCTTCCAGTCTGCTCTAAGAATTATAACACTTTTATATAATAATGTGCTGTTATAAATCTTCTATATTCTGCTTATTCTTTCTGTGTGTGTATATGTATGAGATGTATGCATCTCCCCATAAAGAACTTTTTTAGCTTTTAAACTTACAGAGAAAACCCTTTTTAGTTTACCTGCTATTTTTATAGGACTTTTAAGAGCTTTCTATCATTGTTCTGCAAGATTAAATTTTATCATGTAAACAAATGGACACAATATATGTTAAACACAAAGGTGATTATTTGGGGCTTTTATAAATAGAACATTCAGTTCCAAACAAGGCACCAAATGTAAAGTAAAAGTAATAGAAAGTAACAAGTGTTTAAGTTTTTATCTGAACTTTAAGCTGGGGTACTTAAAGAAAAGATATGAACTGTAAATTCATTGAAATTTATATTTAATTTTGGTTGTAATAATTATTTACTGTAGCTTATCATGAGAATTACCCAAAATGATGTTTAGTGTGTTTTAAATATGCTAACGTCAGTGATTCATTTCTTAGTTCAAAATTTACTCCAGTGTTTGAGCAAATGCTTTTAACTTTTAATTTGGGTCATCTTGAATTTTCATATGAATTATATGTCTCATAAAACTATATTAAAGCATTAAAAAGCAAATGATATATAGACTTTGAAGTTAAATTTTGTGAATTTATACTTAGCATATTACAGATCAAGGCATCAAAATCATTTTGGATAAAACTTCATGTTTTGAACTTACTTGACTTTGATATGAATTATCTTGGCAAATTTCTGTTTAAAAATTTTTTCACTTTAATTTTATTTCTTTAGAGAAGAAAGAGTGAATATGAAGGTTCCCAGAGATATGGATGATGCCAAGGCTCTAGGAAAAGTTTTATCCAAATATAAGGACACCTTTTATGTACAAGTACTTGTAGCTTATTTTGCTACATATATTTTGTATCCTTTTAACTGAAAAATGTTTTTTAGTTTTGTTTAAGAAAAAGGTTTTGAAAGATCTGCTGCTCAGTTATACATAACTTTTTCATTTTAAAAATTGCTAATGCAGTTAACATTAAAATATTGAAAAATGAGAATGAAAAAATTCTCATTTTAATCCTGTCTCTTCAACTCAGTTGTCATTTCTAAATATTTATTACCTGTTTCTCTGTTTTCTGCTTATTTCACTTATCATAAACTTTTTTCTTTCCTTTGTATTATTTAAGATAGTTACTTTATTTAGGATTATTAGTTAATCGATGGTCTTAATTTAAATAATAATTTTGAATTATTAGTTACCATACCATAATTTTTTAAAATTCTCTTAGGTTTGAAGTTATAGTTTGTATTTAATTTTTTGCTTTTGTAGATACTATGCTATGAATCATTTGTTCATGATTTTTTTCTTCCATTTAATGGTTCTCTTTGTAAAAAAAGCCTAACAGGATAATTAGTCTTGTAAAAGATATGATATTTTTTTTACAGTTCTCAGTATGTATTCGTTTGTTTTATATAGAAATATGTTATAATTTAACTAGGCAGGAAAATAGCTTTATTCTTTCTACATATTTTCAAACTGCCTGTGCAACTGGTGATTAACCTTCCAATTTGTGGATGTTAGTTTCTAAATTTTTATATCTTTTATTCTAGTCCCGTGTATTTTCCATATCTTCTTGGGTAATGAAAGACATTAACTCTTGATTTGTGCTTTCCATTTCATCACTTATTTGTGAAAACCAGAGTGTTAGGCTTGGAGGTTATTTTACATTTATAAACTTTAGCCATAAAATAAAATATTTCCCCAAAGAAGAAACAAATTTGATTCATCCCTTTCATTTGGCTTTTATAAGGTTTTTGTGAACAAGACATACAGTTTCTATTTACTTTGTAAAATCATCTGTTCTGTCCAGTTTGCCCCCTAGCTTTGGGAAGGATTCATGGCTGAAGGATAAAAGGGATCCCCACCCATATCACTAGTCAGCCAGTTGGCATAAGTGAATCTTGACCATCTATGGGAGAACAAATGTTATAGCCTAGTTGTCTTTAATATTCATATGCAAATTAGTAGAAAAGAATAAAGTGCCTAGTAGAAATTGAATTGAAAGTATAGGAATAGGTTTGTTACTGTAAATACATTTGATAAAAATAAATCATTGGTTAATATTGTCAGTTCAGGTTTTATAGCATATGGTTAACTATTTGCTTAATAATTAATTGTAATGATTCTGCATTGTTTTAGATTTTTTTATAGGATAATGTGATAATTCCATATTTTCTTATAATTTTCTATTTATTTTACACTTTGGAATCTTAAGCTCTGAGTGTTAAAAAGATACTTTTTAAAATTCAGTGTACAAGAAAAGACTTACCTTAGGGTATTTAAGGCATATAATTAATAGTACAGTGCTAATTAATAGAAGTATAATGTGAGCCACATGCAGTTTTAAAATTTTCTAGTTAGCACATTAGAAAAAGTAACAATTTTTAAAAAATATTTATTATAATGATATTGGCATATTCTTTTTTTTGGCCAGATAGCATGTGGGAATCTTAGTTTCCCGGCCAGGGATCGAATCTGTGTCCCCTGCATTGGAAGCACAGTATCTTAATCAGTGGACCCCCAGAGAAGTCCCAAATAAAATTTATCTTAATATATTTTATTTGAACTGAAATGTCAAAAATATAATTTCAAAACATAACCACATAAAAATTATTAATATTTCACATTTTTTTTAACCAAGTCTTTGAAATGTGTGTATTTCACACTCATAACACATCTCAGTTCAGACCAGGCACACTTTAATGTCTCGTCTCCACAGCACATGTGGCTAGTAGCCATTGTATTCAGCAGTGCAGTACTGGTATTTTCATTGGTATTACCTAATTCAAACTCATATATCTGTTACTTTTTATGTTACAATCACTAACTTTAACTTAGATTTCGTCCATTTAGCCAGTTTTTTTTTTTTTTTTAAGTACTAACTTTTATGCTAAGTACAGTCTAGTTTAAGTGTTCAAAAGCAAAACAACTGTTTCCATCTGGAATAATGAGAATTATGGGTAGAGATACAGTACAGTCATTCTAGACACAGAAAGTCTAGAGCAGAGCTTATAAGCACAGGGCATGGTAAGGAAGTGATCAGTAGTCCAGTTTTGTTGGGGTGTAGGAAGTGAGAAGGGGAGGATTTGAGAAATAAGTTTAGGAAGGTAGGCTGGACGTTGTACTCAGATTGTAGAGGACTTTGAGTACTAGGCTAAGGAATTTAGAATATTATTTGGTATTGGATAGTCATTGAGGACTTTTGAGCTGTGGGTAACAATAGAAAGGATATCTTTAAAAACTGATAAAAATGTTTACCTGAGGGGGGAGAGAGAGAGATGAATCAGTGATGGAAGTAGAACTTCCCCAAGTGTACTTCATTGCGTAGATTTGACTTTAGAACCAAGTAAATAATTTCACACAGGTATAAAACCAACTAAATCAAAATGAAAAAAGAAACAAGAATCTTAAAAATCTAAAGTACCCTCACACCCATTAAGATGGCTACTAATCAAAAAAACAAACAAAAATCCCAGGAAGTCACAAGTGTTGGTGAGGATATGAAGAAATTGAAACCCCTGTGCACTGTTGATGGGAGTGTAAAACAGTGTGGCTACTATGAAAAACAATATGATGTTACCTCAGAAAATTAAAAGCAAGATTCAGCAGTCCTATTTCTGAGGATATACCTGAAAAATTGAAAGCAGGGTCTCAAGAGATATTTGTATACTCATGTTCATAGCAGCATTATTCATAATAGCTAAAAAATGGAAGCGACTCAAGTGTCTTTTAACCAATGAATGGGTAAACAAAGTTTGCTATACACATGCAATGGAATATTATCAGCTTTAAAAAGGAGGGAAGTTTTGAAACATGTTACAACATAGATGAACTTTAAGGACATTATGCTAAGTGAAATAAACCAATCACAAAGACATGCTGTATGATTCCACTCACATGAAAAGTGGGCTTCCTTGGTGGCTCAGATAGTAAAGAGTCCACCTACAGTGTGGGAGACCTGGGTTCAATTCCTGGGTTGGGAAGATCCCCTGGAGGAGGGCATGGCAACCCACTGCAGTATTCTTGCCTGGAGAATCCCCATGGACAGGATCCTGGCGGGCTGCAGTCCATGGGGTTGCAGAGTCGGACACAACTGAGTGACTAGGCATGTGTGCTCAGTCGCTTGATTGTGTCCAACTCTTTGAGACCCCATGGACTGTAATCCGTCAGGCTCCCCTGTCCATTGGATGTCCAAGCAAGAATACTGCAGTGGGTTGCCACTTCCTCCTCCAAGGGATCTTATAGACCCAGGGATCAAACCCATGTTTCCTGAATTAGCATGCAGATTCTTTACTACTGAGCCGCCAGGGAAGCCCCTGTTGTAAATCAGGTGTATGCCAACAAAAATTAATTTTTAAAAATGACGAACATAAACCACCCTAAGGGATACAATAGGCAAAATTCAAAAAGTGGTAAATTCTACAAATGACCCAATTTCTTCAATAAGTAAATTGCAAGGGGGAAAAAATCTGTATTTATTTGCTAATTGTGAGCAAATACCATGTGTGGACCCCTTTCATTCCTGATTTGAACAAACCAGCTGTCAAAAAAAAAGGCATGTAGGAATTGTGAACACGCTAAATGGCTACTTAGATCAATTGGAAGTTATAGTTAATTTTTGACAATAGTATCATCGTTGTGTTAAGAAAAGGAATCCTTATCTTTTAAAGGTATTAAAGTAGTTGTACTTGTAATGATATGTCTGGGATTTGCTTCAATCTGATTGCATGTAAGGGATCCAGAGAAAGCGAGATTAGTTGTGTGTTAATTGTTAAAACTGTGTATGGGTATATAGGGCATCATAGTACTAGTTTCTCATCTTTCATATGTGTTTGAGACTTTCCATTAAAAGATTCTAAGGAGCCCTGAAATAAATAAGTGTAATTTTTAAACTTTTTGGTGGAGGTGTCCGGTAGATAGCAGGGAAATTTGAGATTGGTAAGAGAATTCAACATTATAGATAGATACATATGACCATATACTTGAAGCCATGTGTGCGTCCATATACATGAAAATAACTGAATTTATCAAAGGTGAGAGGAGATTGGCTAACAATCTCCAGATTTGAGGGTAAGGAGAAGAAAAAAGCTAGAGAAGGAATGATCTGTAATATCGAAAAATACAGTTCACTGGAGGTGAGTTTCACATTAAAGGATATCTAATCTTATGCAGGGATTACTAAAAATTCTTACTGAGAAAAAGTCATTACTTTCAGCCAGAAGGAGGTTCCAGTAGAGTGGCGGATGGGTAAGCCAGGTGGCAAGGGATATGGAGAGAACCTAAGGCAGTGAAGATGAGAGAGGCAATAACTATACCTTGCTCAACGAAAAAGCCCAGGTTCTCTTTAGTTTATAGGCATCTGAGTGGTTTTATGCAGGAGGAATCTGTCAGAGAGCAAGAAGTTAAAGAACCCAGGAAGAAGGAGATTGAAACAAAAGCAAGAGTAAAGTGCAAACTAGAGGGAACAAACAGGTGGAGTGAAGATAGAAATTTTAAAGTACAGAGATGTTGAAGGAATTCACTCCATCTGACTTGTAAGTAAGTCATGTTATGGTTGATGCAGAGGTCCAGGGCCAAACTAGGAACCAGAGAAGTAGAAAAAAGATCCTATTTAAAAGTAAGATTTGTTTGTGACTTTACTATCTTTAGTAACCCTTGTCCTTTTTTTAATGAGTAGTAAGTTGAGGTAAATGTCCACACATTGAATTAGGCATAGTAAATCTTCTCTGTACCTGTGTGTCTACAGAAATCATGTTTCCTAAAAGTATTTGAGAGTAAAAATCCAATGTATTAGAGAAGTATATTATTTACAAGGTTACTGAAGACCTTTTCTGTTCTCTTTTTCTTTTTTTCTGTGTCCCTGTTCCCCTAAAGTGCCTAGTTCTTCTCTGTCTGGTACACATTCGACATTTGTCTTGGTTTTCTCTTAGTAACACACTCTAATTAACATTGATTTCCGATGATGTTAGTAAATTGTGAGCTTTAGGTTACAGGTATTACAGCTGAGTAATCGTGTATGTTTTAAATTTTGGGTGTAATTTCACTTAATTTTTTAATACTGAAATATGGATATAATCTTATTAACATGTAACTGCTGCATTGATACTTTTTTTCTGGATTGTTGGATTTGTGGTTGAAAAATCCATTTAATTATGTTTTAATCCTTAACTTAGAAGTTAACAGCTTGCAAACATTTGCTATTCCGGGCTCTATATTTCTCAGTATACTCTCAGGGTTTCTTTATCCCTTTCCACTAGCCTTATTTCTTGTTTGTTTGGTAAGTATTTAAAATGAAATTGGGAGGCTAGAAAAACTTTAAATAGAATGATTGGAATAATGATGGCATCCTAGTCTCTGGAAGCATAAACTTAGTTTTAAGAGGTGTTTAGTATTAAAGTAATATTTGTTAAGTCCCTCCAAAAGGAGATGTTATAGTTTGTCTCTTTTCTAGAAGAGGGATATCACAGACTTAATTGCATTTATAGGCTCTGTTCTAGCCTTTGCTTCCAATACTGTTTTGTAATTCAAACAGTCCAAGAATGTTGTTGGTGGGCACAAGAAGTTAAGTCCCAGGGCTGGACAGGGTGGTATTTTCAAGCATAGCAATTGAAAAAATATTGGCTCTTGAGGTTTTATTCATAGGTTAATGGCTAACGTGAACTATTTGGATATGGTCTCTTAAGTTTAGTCACAAGTTTAGTCACAAGTTCCAGTTGTCTCATTTTAGTTATAATTTGGTGAGAGAAAGGACTGGATTAGATGGGTTCTTGCTCTCTGCATAAGAGGTGTTATGCAGAGTAACCTCCCTGGAAGCCAGAAGAAAGAAACTAGTTGAGTTTTGCCTTAGATGAATATATCCATGTGAGTAAGATGGAAAAGTACAAAATGCTTATGAGTTTTTGTTATTTTCTAGTGTTCTGGACTCGGTGCCTCATTCTGCTATATGCTCTCCTATTTAGTTGGGAGGCCAGTTGTATATAAATACCTAACAGAGAAAGCAGTAAAATGGTCACAGCAGGTAAACATGTATTTTTAAATTATTTGATGTAATCCTTGGCTACTTGGGAGGTCAGTGTATAATATCTACATAAATGAACTCAGACTCAGGGCTTTGATAAAAATGATCTTTTGGCCAAAATAAAATTAAGCAGTAGGCAAATAATGAATGTTAATAATTACAGATACGAATTTTTTGTGTCTATAACAGTAAATTCTTTATTCCTAGTAAGTTTAGTCAGCAGAAAAATCATAGTGTCAATGTAAAGGCATCCATGTATTTAAACACCTCACTTGTGTTGATGCAGGATGCTCTCAGTGGGTCTCTGAAAAGCTTGTATCAGCCAGCTTCTTTAATGCATTTCATTAGTGGGAAGAACTGTTATCTTCTGTTAGGACCTCTGCAAAGGCTACCACTGATAAATATTGATATAAACACTACTACACAGGAAAGTCTAACATAGTATTTCTAAGAAGAAAGCAGAAGAAACAGATTATTAAATCAGAGAAATTTTATTATATATTTATCCCTTTGTTTTATAGGTTAGGAAATTAATAGAAATTAAACATTTTGCCCCAAATCAAAATCATTATTTATATGGCAAGATCTAGCATAAACTGCAATCAGTGCTTTTATTTAATCAGCTGAATGTTTCCATTTGCTCATTTATCAATGATGAATTCACTCATGTGAAGTAAATTGTAATAACAAAGATTATCTGAATTTCTTTAAAAAGTGGAGGCTAGGTTTATTGATGTACTATACTAGCCCTTCCTTTATAGGAAGTAAAAGGCTTTAAAAAGTTGACCACTGGATATCTTATATATAGTTATAAATTTAATTTTGCCTTTTTAGGTTTAAAATGTTGTTAAGCCATATTATCTAGGCTGATATAGAACCATCTTTAATAGTGTAACATTATGCTGTAAGCACAATCATAAAAACTTTCATCTGATGTTATTTAGCTCTGATAATGAACATTTGATGAGTAGTTCATTGTCATTTTCAAACTCCTTTTTTGATAATTTCTGTTGGGTAAATGCTGAGCTATCAGGGATAAGAATTTGAAATAAGGTATTTTATAATAAGCAATTTATTTTCAGGATTGGCTTTGTCTTCATCCTAATTTGTTTGTTTCTTGTCCCAGGTTGAACGTCACAGAGAACATCTCATTAACTACATTATATTTTTGAGAATAACACCATTTCTGCCTAATTGGTTTATTAATATTACATCTCCTGTGATAAATGTGCCCTTGAAGGTTTTCTTTATTGGCACTTTTCTAGGTAAGGCCAAGGCCTCTTGTTCTGATCCCATAAATGTAATATTATTTTACAAAATCCAAAAGTACCCCACTAAGATTTTTTTCCCACTTTTATGGAGAACCTGCTAAGACTTTTATCTTTGTCTATGAATTCATACATGTTACAGAACTCATTGTTTACATGTCTAGCCGTGTCCAACTGGGGTAGGTTTATATAACTGGTGGTCACAGAGCCTGGTCTATGTAAGTTGATGTTCAGAAATGTTTGTTGGATTGTGTTGATTTAAATATTTTTTTGTTACTTTTATAAAATAAGAGCACTGTCTTCTGGATATTCTTTTGGTCATACAGAATTATGCAGGACTTCTTAACTCCGTTCTCTCCCTCAGTGGAAAGAAAAAAAATGAAAGTGCCTCTTTTGAGTACTTTCTCCTTTGTCTTCTAATGAGGTACTTAAATAATGAACTTTAATTTTCAATAAAGAATTGATCCTATCTTTCTTTTTATTGACATAGTACTCATTATGGGCATTACCAAAAGTATAGGGGAAATAAGGATCAACAAAAAGATTCTTGCTTTCGAGGAGCTAGCACTTAATTTTGAAGGTGAACTTAAAGATTCATTTAAAAAAAAAATTCATTTATATATTTAGTGAATTCTGCTAGTTCTTTTACTAAGAATATTCTGCGTTTCTTTTAAATTTAAGTTGAATTGTTTAGATATCAACAAAATGAGCAGATTCCTCAAGTGTTGAGTGTATATTACATTAAACCTTTAAGTTAATACTTATTGCTACTTTTAGAAGAATTCATAGACAAAGCTGAAAGTCTTAGCAGATTCTCCATAAAAGTGGAAAAAATATCTTAGTGGGGGTACTTTTGGATTTTGTAAAATAATATTACATTTATGGGATCAGAAGAGAGAATTTTTGTACTGTCTCTTTATTTTACAGATGAAATACCTAGAGATAAAATTAACTTCAGCTTTGGCTAAAGTAATTTTTCCAGTTCTGATTTTTAATAAAATATGGTGGTTTCACCATTCTTTTGTATAAAGTGCCGTTTTTACTCATATATTTTGAGTATCTTTCTATTTCTGAGTATCTCCTACCACTCATTTTTATTTTAAATATACTTGACATTACGTGAATGAAAATTTACTCAATCTTATTTTCAAAGATGGAGGTTTTTTCCCAGATTTTTAAATTATAATTCTTAGATGAACATCCTTGAGACCAGATCTTTGCTTATATACATTAGTATCTCCTAAAGTTGAAATTGGCGGGTCATAGCACATTCTTTTTTTAAGGCTGTTGATAAATTTTGTAAAATTATTTCCTGGAAACTTTCCTTGGGTTTTTTTTTTTTCCCCTTGGGTTTTTAATTCAATATCCTTAAGAGGTGATTATGAAAAATTGAATTCTTTATATGGAAATAAACTTGAGGGGCTTTAAATTAAATTAAAAGTTTAAAAACTGTAAGTCACTGTATTCTTACAAGAAATTTTATACACACAGAATTTTAATTTTTAACAAGAATTGATTGTTTTTTTAATGTATGTTTTTACTTTTTATTTTAGGTGTTGCACCTCCCTCTTTTGTAGCAATTAAGGCAGGAACAACACTATACCAGCTTACAACAGCAGGGGAAGCTGTTTCCTGGAACTCAGTATTTGTTCTAATGATTTTGGCTCTTCTTTCTATTCTGCCAGCCATCTTCCAGAAAAAACTAAAGCAGAAATTTGAGTGAATAATCCTCTGGGTTTTAGTTTTCCCATCATCATCATCATCATCTCAGGATTGGCGGGTTTATGTGTTACAATCACCTCTTCAGTAATTGGAACAGGAGTTTGTAAAATAAAATTTCTTACCAGATGGTTAAAATAATGCATTTAAGTGGCAAAGGAGAGAAGAAAGTAAAAGTGGAAATTGGTATACTATGAAAAGTGCTGTCAGTAGTTACGATAGACATCTCCTAAATTACTATTCCAAGACTATAGGTATTAAGCATAGCAGGATAGTAGGAAATTCTTGACCCAGCTGATTAATTCAATTTAATATATTTCATGAGCTTGCCGTAAATAGTTACCCTTGACTTGATAATTTAATGTTTTTCTCTCTGTTCAGTACTATAACTAAAATAGGAAAAGCAAATACAAAGTTCAAAAGCAAAGATATAGTATTGCTCTTCTGACTAATGTCAAGCCTTTTTTGAGAGGATAAACTTGAAAACTAAAGCTCAAAAGAGATTTACATTTTCTTCCTCTTTTTACCTTTGAGATAATAGACTTGTTTAGAAGTTGCATCTTCAGTGGACTACTGAATTTGGAAAAGATATCAAGTTATATCTGTTTGGTGAGCTTTATTTTTATCTTCTGTTCTAGATTATCATGGATTAGTCTGAAATTTAAAATTCTGACCAGTCTCTTTTCATCTTTTTTCTAGTTTTCAAAATATTTACACTGTGCATATACACAATTCCAATTGTATCATATTGGTGTTGATAATTTATATTCAGATAATATTTTACTACATGGTTCCCCTTTACTATCTCAAAAGGGGATCAAAAAAGCAAACATTCAAAGTATGCAGTTTTTAGATGTTAGATTAATTATATTACTTAATATTTTGAAACAAAAGCAGTGGCAGTATAACACTTAAGTGGTTGAACATAGTTTATTTGTTCCAATGACTGTAAAATTTATCACATTTATTTATTAGTCTGGTCATTAAAGTATGTATTATGTAATTATCCTTTTTATGCATGATACATAAGAATGCCTTGTTTCATTTCTCTATTGATGGCTTTATTGTTTGGGGCTGCTTTTGATTAATGCAGTTTCCCTATTGAGGGTTTTTACTTTTTATATCTCAAAGTAAAATTAAATTCTCATATGGTAACTACTATATTTAAATAGTCCTGGAAAAACCAAACAGCTTTTTGCTGCTTCCTTAATGGTAATACCCTCGATTCCTTGATTCTAGGACATGAAGTGTTCTGTCAGTTTTACCTTCACCCAAGACTGTCATGTTGAAAAGTACTTTAGCTGTGGTAGAAATCCTTGTTAGGTTTTTATTGTGAGAGGTATGATCAGCCTCAAAGCCTGTTTCTACTGTATAATGTGAACTGATTATTTTTTCTATCACAGTATTAACAAATGGATTTATTGTAAATACAAAGAAAATATATTCATTAATATACTATTCTTATGTCACCTGGCCTTTTGTGTGAAATTATTTATTGTTATTTCTAGCAAGGTTTTCTTCCTTTCTTATCGACCAGAGACTGATAAAGCTTTCATTATTTTTACAAGCAAACTTAAAACATAGCCTTTTTGGACAAAGCTCACTAAATATTACTGTATAAAATGTAACTGAGTAAATTTTTATCAGACTTTTAAAAATAAAAGAGTATGGACTCAGGAGCAGCCTGTTTACTCCTTTATATATATATATTGTACTTACTCTATTCTCAGAGTATTTTCCCTATTCGTATCATTGATCTTTTCCCTTTCCCAGTTGTTTTTTCTGTTAGAAAACTGTAGCTGTCACTTAAGGTGGGGTATGTTTTCTTCTCCTAAGAGAATATCCAGTCTTTCCACATTCATCATCATTGACTGTCAAGAAAGAGCCTTCTGCAGGCTGTACCCTAAATGCAATTGATGGCCTGTATTCATGGATTCACAGACTTGGCCTGATGCCAGATGTAGATTCAAGCTTCAGCCATATCTTGAAGACAGTTACATAGTAATAAGCACCAGAGAGTATGTCAATAGTGAGGAGGCCAGCAAACTAACTAGAGAAGCTGACTTAGTGAGACTGCTCCTTCTTAGTTAATGGTCTCTGTCTGGAAGTCTATTACTTCGAGTGTAATATTTCTAAGGCATTTAACAAATGTAAATTAAAATGTAAGAAGAATAAATTATACTGAAAAAAACTCAAATATAGCACTTGGGATTTCTTTCATGGAAGTTTGTATTGAACAAAAATATTCTTTTGAAATTCTGATGCACATTTTCACCTATAAGAACAAAGAAAAAAATATTAAACCTTTAATTTTTATATTTGGCTTTGGAGAATCTTAAAGCATTTAAATTTTAAATTGTAGAGGTAAGTAAAAGTAAACATTTATTTAAGTAGTATATGTAATGATTTCTCTATAAAGCCATCTTTTTAAAGTTCTCTTTGGCTTTTTGAAAATGAGTAGAATAAGTCAAAAGGGCTGAAACTTCCTCGTATTTAAATAATCGTTCATTGATTGTAGTTCAGGTGTTTGAAGGTGGGTCTTATTGCAGTTTCAATGCTCTATTCTGATTTTTGCCTTTTCCCTTTTTTCTTCCTTTCCTGGGAAAAACTTGCTAAGCTGGGTGACTTAAGGGATATTGTTTAAGCTCTAGGCCTCATTTTTCTCATCTGGACTAAGTGAACTCCAGGTTCTTTACAGGTCAGACATGATAGGATTTTTCTGAAATTAATGAGACATTAATAGGCCCTTCTAACTAAAAATACTAAATTAAGCAATCCCTTGTCTAGCTTGTTTTATAGCTGACGTGTGCTTTCACATCATCACATTTAGATAAATTAACCATTTCATTTGTAATGAAATACTTGAGAAAACAAAGAAAAAGCTATTCCCATTTGGTTACTTTACTAGTAGTATAGAGCAGGGTAAAATAATAATTGTTAAAGGAACTAAAAGGACTCTTCTGAAGAGTCTTCATCCTAGCAAAGACTTGGTATTAAAAAGAGGAACCATAATCTCAAGTTTGATGACCACTTCAAGTTAGCAGGGATGGTACTTTGAGAATAAAATGTGGGGGAACTCACTGAACTCCTATATTACATTTGGGGGGCTTTAATGTAAAGTTCAGTATCATCTAGCATTTGGAGATCTGCCAAGTGGGCACTCATCATCATGACTGAACTGTTAGATAAAGAGTGCTGGGGAGTAGAAATTGATCCAGTGTTAGCCTCTGATAGCTCTGGAATACCACCTGAAAGTCTAATGGGATTTTTGAAAACTACTCTTGAGATCAATATTATAAAACTGGAAGCTGAGAGAGGGAAATACACTATATTTTGAATGGAAAACAGCTCACATTATAGCATTATCTCTCTAGAGTGAATCTGTGAAAATCTTCATCACAAAATTATAGTATGGAAGATGGTCTTTTGCCCAGCATCACCTGAAGACAATGGATTCTTTCCTAGAAACCTGTCTTTCCTGGAAAGCTAACAGGCCCAAGGCAGACATGAGTGTGCTGAGTCAAGATCCCTACCTTACTTTCACCTTTGAGACAGGGTTTCCTGGTGACTGGATGAGCACTCTGGGGCCTGCCTTGGAATTCATGTTAGAACAGCAGTCAAATTGTGTGTAATTGTATGTGCCAACTTGTCTGCTGTGGGTACTCCTGGTTCTCAGGCCTTCAAACTATACCACCAGCTTTCCTGGGTCCACAACTTGCAAACAACAGATCATAGGAGTTCTCAGTCTCCATAATCATATGAGCCAATACTTTATACATGTCTCTTACTGGTTCTGTTACTTTGGGTTTTTTTTTTGTTGTTTTTTTTTTTTTTTTGGTTCTGTTACTTTGGAGAGTCCTAATTCAAGGTTATAGGCTACTGTTAAAAAAGTGAAAGTTGCTCAGTCGTGTATGACCGCAACCCCGTGGACTATACAGTCCATGGAATTCTCCAGGCCAGAATACTGGAGTCAGTAGCCTTTCCCTTCTCCAGGGGATCTTCCCAACCCACGGATCTAACCCAGGTCTCCTGCATTTGAGGCAGATTCTTTACTAGCTGAGGCACGAGGGAAGTCCAAGAATACTGGAGTAGGTAGCCTGTCTCTTCTCCAGTGGATTTTCCCAACCCAGAAATTGAACTAGGGTCTCCTGCATTGCAGGCGGATTCTTTACCAACTGAGCTATGAGGCTACAGGCCTACTGTTAACTGGAGACATTTTGAAAAGAAATAGTGACAGGTATTGCAGAGAAAAATCGGAATTCCTGATAGAATTTGGAAATGATGAAACAATAGTGATTGATGGAAAAACAATTAGAATTATACATGGTCATCAAGAAATTATATGTGGTCTCAAAGGTGCACATGTCTATGTCAAGGTTGTGGTAAGCATGTGTCCTTAAGTAAGATATTTGGTAATGTGGATAATTGTCAGAATTTATGTCTATAGTTTGTGGCTACTACACAAAAAGAGGAAAAACCTCTACCTATAAGTAAGACTTGGGAGACTGCCTCGAGTCATGTGATAAAGGTGCTATCAAATGCATTTTGGGACATCAGGCCTAGCTGGAGTCAAACATTATAGGATCCATTTTTAGTGACATTTAAATGTGGAAACTTAACATTCAACCTGAGGCTTGGGAGACACTTGAATTATCTTAGGTCTCAAATTTGGGTGGAGAAGCAGGATGTCACACTTGTTATCTTTAGATAACAATTCTAGCCAGCTTTGTTGGAAAGAGAGGGATCAGTTCAAATTTGAGCTGGAATTGAGTTTACAGATCAGATGAGTAAAGTTCTGGGCAATGGAAATAAATACATTCCTTATCTGTTAGTCACAGTCAGTTCAGTTCAGTTGCTCAGTCCTGTCTGACTCTGCGACCAAATGGACTGCAGCACTCCAGGCTTCCCTATCACCAACTCCCAGAGCTTGCTCAAACTCATGTCCATTGAGTTGGTGATGCCATCCAACCATCTCATCCTCTGTCATCCCCTTCTCCTCCTGCC